AAAATAGAGATTCAGGATCTTCTTTTGTGTTATGATGCCCAAGAAAGATGTCATGGTCCAAGCAGTACAGTATATAAAATTTCATCTAACAAAGCGCACAAATACATTTTGCTTAACTTGCCTACACAAAATCTCTCTTGGCAAATGCAAAATGTTCCTGCAGATTAGAAAATTATGAGCTGTCTTTCGTCTACTATGTGCTCCCATTCATGCCAGCAGCCTGTTTTTAATAAGTAACTTGGCATTACAGTTCTCTTGTTTCCAGTATTAGCAGATTGGATTTCATCCAGTCCATTGTCTTTTTTGTTGTATTCACACTTGCCCTTTTTCTTGAGTGTACAATGACCTGCAAAGAGAGCACAGCAAGAGAGAACCTTTAATTGAGGCTATCCACTGAGAAAAGCACACCGCTGCTGGCAAGGACCAACGTGAAAAATCATCCATACGTATATGAGCCCTGAGGATTGGTGACCTGTCTTTTACCACAAATCATCTGTAGATACAAAGGCTGCAAGGATTGGTGACCTGTTTCTGACCACAAATCAGCTGTAGGTGTGTGAGCCCAGGGACTGGTGATCTGTCTCTCACCACAAATCAGCTGTAGATGTGCAGCATTATCCTTAAGGATTAGTGACCTGTCTCTCACCAAAAAGTATCTGTAGGTTTATAAACTGCAAGGATTAGTGACCTATTTCTATCTACAAATCATCTGTAGGTATATGAGCCCCAAGGATTGGTGATCTAATTCTCACCACAGGTCATTTGTAGACATATTACCCTAAGGATGAGTGACCTGTCTCTCACCACAAATCATCTTTAGGTATATGCAAGGCCGGATAAAGATAGGGATACTGAAGCGCCAATTCCAGGCCCACCACTGAAAATAGGCGGACCCTGAGAGTTACATATGAATGAGAGGCAGCATTTATATATGAATAAGTTGTGACTCATTCACAAGAAAAATGTAGGGGTTAATTGATATGCAAATGCTGCTCCCCCCGTCCTCCTTTTCCGGTTAAAGAATGGTAAAGTCTGGGATTCTGGTAGTGTCTGTCTTGGTGCTCCATATACCTCCGTAGTAAAAGAGTATGTCCACGCCCACTTGCCATGGTAACCAGTTGATTGGCATACTCCACCCCTCCTTCCCTACAGTGATCCAGGCTCCTCTGCATAGAAGGAGGAGAGGAACATGTCAATCAGCTTGTTACCATGGCGAGTGGGCGGGATCATTCGCCGGGCATACCTTTCAGAGTCCCTTCTGCTGCCTGGGCTGTGCTGATCAGCTGAAGGAAGGACCAGAGACTTTCAGCAAATTTGGCCCCGCCTCCTGCACCACCCACAGCCCTAGGTATGAGGAGCGGGAGTCCTACCATGGGGTAAGCTGCAAGGGGTGAGCAGTTTAACAGAGAGTAGGGGAGGTCAGTAGTGTAAGATGAAGGATGTAGAAGGTGTGGAAGTTAACAGTGTTGGAAGAGGGTGGCAGCCATCAAACTCTCTTATAACACTGTTAACTAGACATGTGCACCGGCAAAAAAATAGTTTAGTGTCGTTTTGACTCGGATTTTGCGTTATTTAGTTTTTCGGTATTCGGGTCCGAAAATCAATTCGTTTCGGGATTCGGATTTGGACGAAATTCGTTAGCGTTAGTCTGTTCGAATTGTCATTTTGTTGTCGTTTCATTTGTTCGTTGCAGTTGAGAAAAAAAAATAAAAACATTTCTGTCTGCTGAAGAGGAAGAAAAAAAGCGTGAGGTTCTCCCCCAATTCATACCAGACCCTTTAGGTCTGGTATGAATGATCTGTCAGAGGTGAACAGTGTAGGAAGAGGGATGCAGGGGGAGCAGAATTGTATTTGTGGGTGGGGCTTGTATATGGGCAGAGCATATGCTTTGGCATATTCTCGTATTGCCCGGGGGCCCTTGTGTTGTCAGTCTGCCCCTGTCTCTAGCCACACATTATCTGTGGCCTGAAGATAGATGAACCCCAGGGATTGGTAACCTGTCTTCTACCATAAATCATCTGTATTGTAGGTGTATGAACCCCGAGGATTGGTTACTTGTTTCTTACCACCAATCATTTGTAGATTTATATGCCTCGAGGATTGGTAACCTGTCTCTCACTACAAATCATCTCTAGGTGCCCCATGTATTGGTGACCTATGTCTCATCATAAATCATCTGTCCTGTGCATTCTGCAGAGTTTCTCAAGTAGTCTTATCAGCTCTGTCTAGGTTGCCTACCTCTGTGAACAACAGAACACTTCCCCCCCATTGTAATGCAGATTAGGAGAGGGGACGTGTCCTGTTGTTCTAACATCACCTGTTCAAGGGTGACAATGCTGCTTCTCCATACATACCGTACAGTCAACCTAGGAAGGGACATGTGTTATCTGTTGATCCTGCCAGAAATCCAATGTTCTCGTAACTTGCTGCGAACTAATCTTAAATCTCAAACAATGTTATCTGCTTTTCCAGCTATCTTCTGTGAACTACTGGACATCTCTCCCTATGTTACAAAGATCTATAGAAGAGGAGGAGTTTATAGTCCACATCAGGAGAGCACCCTAGGGTGAAAACATTGCTTCTCCAGAGATAGCATACAGTGAGTAAGATTGTTACCCTAGGACAGAAGTGTGTTCCTGGCAGGATCACCAGGTGAAAATAGAGGAGAAAGATAGAAAATGAATACAGTCAGCACATCTATGGACTGGAAAGCTGCAGTATACAATGTTTTTGTGTTTAAAAAGAAGGTAAACTCACAGATATTGTATTTATTTATTTATGACAGGTATTTATATTGCGCCGACAATAATACGCAGCACTTTACATAGTTGCACATTCACATCAGTCCCTACCCTCAAGGAGCTTGCAATCTAAGGTCCCTATCTTGCATGCATACATAGAGGGCCAACTTAGAGAGGAGCCAATTAACCTTCCAGCATGTCTTTGGAGTGTGGGAGGAAACCCGGAGTTCTCGGAGGAAACCCACGCAAGCACAGGGAGAACATGCAAACTCCTTGCAGCTAGTGTACCTGGCCGGGATTCAAACCGGGGACCCCCAGTGCTGCAAGATCTTTTTAAAAATGCTAGGCGGTAGAGATTTTTGGCAGAAGAGACATCCAAAGTCTCTTCTGCCGAAAAATAATCTTCCTCTTTCCCAAGCAATTATCTTACTTTTTGTGTAAACTGTACACTGCTTGCGCCGTGCAGTGTACACACTCAGCTCAATTATGGCATCTCTAAGTTGCCAGGAATGGCCCTGATGCCAAGGAGGATGTAACTCCTGTATGCATGTACATCATGATCACCAGTGACCATCCAAAGGCTGAAGAGTTCGCCTGGGAACCCTTCCCCATATCTTTAAAGTAACAACAAACACACCTTTAGAAATTTTTAGTAATGACAATCTACAATCACTTACTTCTAGATAATTGCCGGCTTTGTACTCTTTGCATACCTTATTTCTCTTTTCCTCCCCAGTCTTCTGACAGTGGCCATGTTTACTAAGAGCAGATTACTAGATCTCCGTTTACTTCTTCAATTTCTGGCACATGTGACTACACATGTGACTAGGACATGTGACCATGCTCATCATCTCAGGGGAGGAAAATGCCTTTCTCTGAGATCTCCTGAGATTACAGATGAGATTTCCCAGCAATGCTCAGCTGATGACAAGACAATACCAGTGTGCATTGCTTTGGCAAACTGAAGTCATTTTTCCTTTTCAAAGCAGGAAGTGAATGCTCTGCAAGTGTAAGTATTTCACAATCCCAGCATTTTACACCCAACATGTCCATGTTATTATTAATCATCATACATAGAGCACTGCATTGTTAGAATTGGATTTTTGAGTGGAAAGGTCAGCTTTAATGTGCAAGCATGCTTTAAAGAAATAGCTACTGTTGCTTCTAAATATGTTAGTTTCTTGGCTGTTGCTGGCTTGAATATTTTCTGAGACACTGATCCCGGGGCAAGTGGGAAAAATCAGGAAAGTCCTAATCTGCATAATTGTTTTAGGTCAGTTTTTTAAATAACTGGATCAGCATGACAGCCAGGGAACAGATATTTCAGAACTGAAGGTCAGCAGAAGCAACCTCTATACTTAAAGAAGAACTCCAGGAAAAAAAACTCTTAACCCTTGCAGTGGGGCTCTCCCCGCACTGCAAGGGTTAAGTGCTTGTTTGTGTCTATGTTAATAAAAAAAGTTATACTCACCTGAACCTCTGAGCTGGCTGTCTCTTAGACTGGTCGCTGGAGCCTCTCTCCTACAGCGGTCTAAGGATCCTCAAGTCATCACATTCTATACAGTGCATAGGACGCCAAGGGATATGCCATCGCTGCAGTGGAGGAGTAGACAGGCTGGAGGGAGCGGATCCGAGGTCCGGGTGAGTATAACTTTTTTTTTTCATGGACACAAATGAGCAGTTAACCCTTGCAGTGTTTGAGAATGTTTTCCTCTGAGTTCTTCTTTAACATGGGGTTTCTCTATCTTATTGCTTATCTGAAGAACTCATATTGTGATATAAAGAAATAATATAATTCTGCCTTTATTCAAGGCATGCGGGTGGGGTTGGTAATATTAGACACAATAATGTTTTAGGTGTGGCATTAAATATGAAGCATTTGTGTCCAGGTAAGATTTCAAAATCTGAATTTAAACAGGCAGTGAAGAAAGTCAAATTTAAAAAGGGAGAGTACACAAATAACGATGAAATACATACAAGAACATGTGGAGAATGAAACACAAATACAAGAATACTAAATGAAACCTAAACAATCCTAAACATACTGAAATGCTTATTCCTAACGGCCTTATGATTAGGTACATGTTATGTGAAATGATTAGGTACATGTTATGACAGCTGGATGCATGCTTGGGAAGTGTCATGTTTGTGTGGCACCTGAATATCTGAGATTATGTTCTGACCAGTCTTTGGCTTACATCCTTTATATATTGTTCTCTCAACAGATAAACTGTATCCAATCTCTGTCCACAGTAAAATGACTTGGGCTCTCAGCCCTACCATTTCACAAAATGCAGTTAAAAGCCAGTCCAACAAGACAAGGGAAGAAGACTCACAGAAAGTACTATGTGATACATCAAAACAAACTTCAGAGTCAGAGGGAATAAAACAACATGAAAAGCAGATGAAGACAAAGGACATTGATGTAAATGAGACAGCACAGCAAAGCAGAGGCAATGGGGCAGAGTGGTCGAGAAACGGTGCTCAGGAAAAAGCTCCCGATGAAGCCTCCAACAAAACGCAACATATGAAGATAGCATCTATTTCCCAGGAAACCCCAACAGCAAGAAGGAAAAAGAGGCATCAGACTGACTCAGATTCACAGGTTTTACCCAGGATAGCCAAAGGTGAAATTACTTAAATATAGTTTCTTATGTAGGTAATGCATGGGGAACGTAGGATGGTGGTCATAAATGAAGAAGCTATTTCTGTTTCAGCACCCACAATCATCTACAGCTGTTAATAGATGAAACACTGCATATAAATGTTCCTATTGCAAGGACACCGTGTGTGGGCTATTTTCTCATTGACCAAAAAAATTGGTACTAATTACAGTCAGTGAAAACTGCATTACTTTTTGTTTCCTTAAAAGACTGCAAGCCTGGACCAGAAAATGTTTTTGATAAGTTCAATAATGCTGCTCCAAAGCAGTGCAATAGCAGTTTGCTTCCCTGCCTCAGTCAGGTGTTTGTGGTTTACATTTTTCTACAAAGAAAGCAGAACATGTCTGTTACACGGCCTTATCTTTTTTAACTGTGAGGGAACCCAGACATTGGTTTTAGGTCTTAGAAACCAGCTAAATATTAATATATTTACGCCCATGGTGCATTATCAGATACTAGTGGTCAGTGGAGAAATGTAATTTGTTAGAATGTCACCAGCACTCCAGAAGTCCTTTCAGGATAACCAAGTGTTAATTTATTAAGAACCATGTCAAATGAAGACGAGTGCTTTCGGGGCCACACAGGGTCCCTTCATCAGGCTTAACATTGGCGATGTTAAGCCTGACAAAGAGACCCTGCGTCCACTGTCCTACCCGAAAGTGCTTATCTTCATTTGACATGGTTCTTAATAAATAAACACTTGGTTATCCTGAAAGGACTTCTCGGTCCCTTTGCATAATGCAATTTGTTTATCATTGTTGGTGAACATTAATGGGCAAATATGTAGTTGAAAATAGCGGATGGAAAATATCAGCCTCTCCTTGAATAAGTTGTTTGAGTGCTAGAAACTTCCATGATGCTCATGTGACAGTGACTGTGATGCAGAAGTGGTGCTATGCTCCTTTACTCTTTTATGTGGAAGAGTAAGGGATCGGGGTTGGTCACAGAGAGATAGGTTGGGAAATCTCCCTGCCCAATAACTATTGTCTTCCTATGTCAGGTGCTCTTTATTGCCCATCTATCAGGAGCATTGCTTGCTATAATTGGGATATGTGTGACCACCCTCTAAACCAGAGGAGGGCAACTCTGGCCCTCTAGCTGTACTTTAACTACAAATCCCAACATGCAACTGCCTCTGCGAGTCATGCCTGTAACTGTAAGGCTGGGTTCACACCTGGGCGTACGGAATATGCGCGTTTGCCCGAGCATTTTTACAGTGATTTGCGGTAAAAGAAACTTGCGACAAACGCGCGTTTCCGAGGGCTATCTGGCTGTATCCTAATGGATACGCGCTGTAAATACGCCCCAAAGAAGCTCCTGTACTTCTTTGGGCGTAGGGCGTTTTACAGCGCGTAGGTACGCGCTGTAAAACGCCCAGGTGGGAACCATGCCCATAGGCAATTATTGGTTTTCACATGTTGAGCATTTTACAGCGCTTAGGAACGTGCTGTAAAACGCCCAGGTGTGAACCAGGCCTAAGTCTTGCAATGCTTCATGGGGCTTGTAGTTCTACAACAGCTGGAAGGCTGGAGTTGCCCACCCCTGCTCTAAACCTACAAATGTGAGTAAAGTTGGCCAGCTTTATTCCCATTTGTATGAGGCTAATTTGGAATATTTGCTAGATTATACAAGAGAAACCTAATTGGCTGCTAATACCTCCATGTTGCAATCTTCTGGTTTTCACAAATGTCCCTGCATTATTGTTTTTTGGAAATGAGCCCCATCCAGCAGGAGAAGTATGCAGTGGTATGGTTAAAATGCAGCTGAGGGACCTATTAAACAAAAAAGAGAGAGATTATAATCAGGCCATCACCATACAGAGAAGTGTTAAAGAAGAAAGCCAAGAAAAGAAGCCCGATAATCAGCTTTACAGTAAGGAAAGCTTGTTATTCCCACTGATTAAAAGTAAGAGCCTGGATCTTCCTCATTATGCAAGGCGAGTCATTCCAGTGACCACTAGATGCACAGTGGCCTAGAAATATCTATTTTAAACTATTGCCTCTTATTTGCAATATATAGATATCTAGTTTTTTTATTTTAAAGCTTTCCTTTGCTTCACGTATGTGAGTATTGATTTAAAACTTCACCTATGCATTTAGAACTGGGTGGCTGTTGATTAGGGTAATTGGTTTGTTTGTCGTTTGGAGCTGTTTTGAAGATGTGCTTCTGTGTGCTTCATCTGAAAACATCCGTCACATTTCCCTTTCCTTTCTTGCTTTCCTTCCCTCTCCTCCTTTTTGTTCTAATTCTTTCATTCCATATTTTGTATATTTTCTTCCATGCCTCCCATGATGGAGTGGCCTTATCATCTGCAGTCTCAAATCTGCACCCACAGCTACAGTAATGGTGCAATTTATGGTTATAGGCTATGTCTGCTTTAGGCTAAAAACATTTTGGACCGATATCCAAACATTTCCTCAATAAAAGACAGTCGGGTATTCCCTATGGACTGTTTTTTTCTGGAATTCTGTTTTGAACGTCCTGTTGATATCTAGAGGGGAATATTTTTAAACAATGACAGAGAAGATTTATGGTGGACAGAACCATGTACCAATGCTGAAAGCTATAATCGGATCTTGTCTGTGTGTTGCAGCAAAATCAAATGAAAACAATTGTAATTAATTGGGAAACAAAATTCAGATGTAAAGTGTTTATTGTTTAGGCGATCCTGTCAAATCCTAAACATTGTCTCAAGGGGCTCCGCAAACGTCAATGCAATTAAGCAAAAAAAGGAAATGCAAGGAAACCCTTTATCTTAAAGTGGAACATTACACCATTGCATTGCGGTAACGCATCTTACACACATTGGTGTGCTGCGGCTTACCACAGAACCTCCATAATGCACCTGCATTGCAGCACATCGCAGCACACTGCAATACAGTACCAACGTTGGGGGAAAAGACTGCAGGTGCATTTTGTTTGTCCCTTCTGCTGCTTTAAAAAGTTATAAAGTTGATACTAGAGTAGAATTTCAGCCTATACTTTTCAGATTTGAATATAATTAAGGGGTATTTCCTGTACTCTGTTGGTCACTGGGGCAGAAAATACACAATCTTGGCAAAGGCCACCCAGATAACAAATTAAAGCACATGTAGTGTTGGAGACCTGCAAAGGAGGAGGATACAGAAGGTAGGCACAGCTTTTTGGAAGGTTAGTGTTAAAGGGAACCTATCAGCATACCCAGCAACGTGTATAAACTAACATTACTGGTACAGTGCAAGCAGCTTGTGGTGCATGCAAGTAACTTTATTTGTCTGTACATCAGTTAATTTGCTTCTAGGAAGGAGCCTGGATTTTAGGAACTGGCTTTATATAGGCCTCAACTTCTCCCCAAATAGAGGTTAAAGTGACATTAAACCCTCAGATTTTTTAACATAAAACAATACTGTAATGTGCGCCTTACTGTAATCCATGGTTGTTTCCCTTCTCTTTGCTGCTCTTCCTTTTAAATCTGTATCTGTTCTCATGCTGGGCAGAACTTCTGTTTTGCAGCAGACTGCCTTGTCTCTGAAAGGGATACATGGTGTCTGTGCGTAGGTTTGCAACCTGAGCCAACACTACAGGAAGAGGCACTCAGCTGCAAAGGGAAGTTTTCCCCAAGCATGAGAAGACATGAGGATTTAACATAACTAAACCCTCCTTTCCTTTAAAGCCGAGGAAAGTGCCATCTTATCCTCTGTTCAGATCTACTGTTGCCATGGTGCTGCACATGTTATCAGCTATAGCACCAGCCACTTTTGGGCTTGAAAGTTTGGTTGAGAGCTAACAAAGGCACACTACCAACTGTGATAGTTATCACCAGAGGCATGCTTTTAGGACTCGCTAACACTAGCCCGCACGCTAAAATGCTGACTTATAGAGTGCAGGCTAGTGTATGTGTGCGGTCTGGTGGGCACTATTTACTTTTATTTCATTTATTTAACTTTATTGAGGGTGAGAGTGAGTTTAGCTTGGCTTTACGTCCCACCCCCAAGCTCCGCCCCTATGATTCAACTGTCAAAAAGTAAAACCTCCAGTAACAACGGAGAAAAAGAGGCTTAATCTCCACGGGGGCCTAAATACATGATCCAGGGTACTCCCCAGGTCCCCCTAATCCACAGGACAGTAAGTGAGGGGAGTAGGGACCCAACATTAACAACAGATATAGAATTAAACACCCCCACTATTGTTTTACTTTAAGCTTTGACTTCTGTTCTACGCTCTTTTCTATTATTCCTAAGCATCACCCATTTCCCATTCTATGATAAGCTCTGTCTCCTGTCTTACACTCTTCCCCATTATTCCTAAGCGTCACCCATTTCCCATTCTTTTATATGGAGGTTAGGTCATGGAAGTGTTGGCTGTCACTGAAAGTGATGCTCTGAAAAGATGAATGACAGCTGAGCGTGTAGCAACTAACCTGGAACCTGCCATTGATGTGTTGCCATGGTAACAAGAAAACACTATGGAGAGACACTGAGCCTAATTTTCTCCTAGCAATCGTGTGCTGGAAATGCTGATTATCACACACAGATATTATCCAACATCTTTTCAGTTCTTTGTTTATCTTTTTTGGGGGGTTTACATTTTCCGTCCATACATCTTATGAGTTAGTGAGTTTTGGTGGATACCAGATGTCTAGGATGGTTACCCGCCACAGGTAACATTGGGTTTGATAAATTTCTCACCATTGTTTAGGTCTTCACATCAGTGAATGAAATGCTTAGTTTGGTATTAACCTCATCTCTCATTTTACCCTGAACAGCCGGATTTGATACCAATGACATGGAGAACTCAGAGGCAGCGAAAATGCAAACCTCCAACCAAAAGATTTCCTCAGAGTCATCTCCTCTCATAGAGAAGAAGCCAGAAGACCCACGGGGCCCAGGGACCTTCTTTTACATTGGTGGCGGTAACGGGGCGCAACTGTAAGTGACTTTGATTTGTAAGATGAAAGTGTGTTTAAACGTGTTTATGTATTAAAGGAGAACTATGGGGTTAAGGCTTTTATCCATAGTTCTCCTTAGGGTAACCGGAGGACACAAACTAGCGTCCTCCCGTCACCCTAAGCTCAGTATACCGCGAGCTGCTGCTCGCTGTATACTAAGACGCCGCAGCTGAAGCGGATGCCGACAATTATGTCTGGATCCGCCCAGCTGCGTGACTGACAGCTGGCTGTGCCTATCTAGAGGCAGAGCCAGCTGTACCCGCCCCCTCACCCATCCGTTCTGCCAGTCAGCGCTGGAGGATCAGAGCGGGGAGGGGGGAATCAAGAACAGTAGAAAGGCATCATGGCACACTCACAAACCAGCATGTAAAACAACTTGTCTCACCACTAAGGACAATGACAGAGGTTTGGATACACGTCTTCTGCAAAGGATGTGTAAGCCGCACTGCCGCGCCAAGGCACCTCTTATAGTGCGGTCCTAACTCTAAACTATGAGAGTCTCCATCTTGGAGCACATGGGGGCAGAAGATATCAAATTGGGTGCAGGCCTGTCAGGAGGACGCCCCACCTCCTTAAAAGGATAGAAACACACAAGGGATCCCGCACAACCCATAGGCAGCTGAGAAACCCCATGCGTCGCTGCACCAAATCGGTAAAGCAAAACAAACGACAAACGCACTCAACAATTTGTTACCAGTTATACAGTAAGGTGCACACGAAATGGGCTTTGAACAGTAGAACAGTAGAAAGGCATCATGGCACACTCACAAACCAGCATGTAAAACAACTTGTCTCACCACTAAGGACAGCTGAGAAACCCCATGCGTCGCTGCACCAAATCGGTAAAGCAAAACAAACGACAAACGCACTCAACAATTTGTTACCAGTTATACAGTAAGGTGCACACGAAATGGGCTTTGAACAGTAGAACAGTAGAAAGGCATCATGGCACACTCACAAACCAGCATGTAAAACAACTTGTCTCACCACTAAGGACAGCTGAGAAACCCCATGCGTCGCTGCACCAAATCGGTAAAGCAAAACAAACGCAGTCTGGTGCAATAGCCAGCCTGCTATTGCATTTTAAAATATCCCATAGCAGACTGGGTATGGCTCCCAGCTTCTAGATACCAAAAGGAACAGGGCGGCAGCGGAGGCACGGGGGCGTGGCCGAGGCGCACAGGGGCGTGGTCGAGGCACAAGGGAGGCGTGGCAGAGGGGCAAGGGAGGCGTGGCCGAAGCGCAAAGGAGGTGTGGCCGAGGCGCAATGCATCATGTTTGCATTTTTTTACAGCGCATTGCCCATCACGCCCACATTGTGGTGTAAACAGGGCCAAGGCAGTGCATATAATGACTCAGCCTAAGGCTGTTGGCTCAGGCGGCATCCCTTCGGGTCACGTGGGGGAAGGGGGCAATGGGCAGAGCGGCATGGCTGCACAATGTTTGCAGTGTGCCTGCCACCCCCTTTCTGGCCAGAGTGTCCCAGGTTTCTAAGAACCAGCAGGGGGATGTGTAAAGCCATACACATCTCCCCGCCCAGCTCTTAGCAACCTGGGACATTCTGACCAGCGTCCCACCCAGCTCCTAGCAACCAGTGATGTTACAGGTTGCCAGGACCTGAGAGGGATGCTTTGGCTGGCGTCCTGCCTGGCCCCTGGCAATCAGTGGCATCAGTGAGCTAACCGTCAGTGAGTATTCACTCACTGCCAACCAGTGACATCAGTGAGCTGGGCTCCCAGCCCTGTTAGCGTTCACCATTGCCCCCCGTCACCCCCCAGGATGTGCACCCCAGCAAACACCCCCTCCCAATGTACAGGGACACAGACAGGGGTTCTAGTTCTTTCCCCACTCTATCCAAAACTTAAAAAATGTTTTGGCCATACATTCAGTTTATTTCATTCATGTTCCCTGGGCCAGTATTGGATAGAAGGTGCCTACAATGCAGTAAGGATCACCTGCCAACTGCTGGGGACCTAAAGGGATGTGGTAGTAGATCTCTTCTGGTGTCTGTTAGCTTCAGGATAGCAGCAGGCGGTACAGCTGGATTCCCTGGTTTTCCTGGCTTCAGCTGTCTCTAGGGAGCTGGAGGATTGTGTTAAAATAGCAGCTGCTGCAGATGAAAAATTCATTATATGTTATAGAAGGTCTTTGATATTTTACCTATTGTTGTTTCCCTTTGACCTTCTAGCTAAACAACAATAGAGGTTCTTACGCCCCATTCACACTTGCAATGTGCATGAACTTGTGTAGAGTTTTTGCGGATTTTCTGTGCATCAGCAAAGGGCAGCTCATTAAAGAACTCTGAACAAATAAAATATTAAGGCTACCCCCAGACTGCAAGGGTTAAGTGCTCATTCTGCCTAGGGAGCTGAAATAACAGCGATATACTCACCCGAATCTCAATCTAAGCTGACTCCTAGACCGGTCCCTTCAGCTGGTCTCACCCTCCGCTCCAGCGATGGAATGTCCCTCAGCGTCCTCACACCCTATACACTGCATAGGACATGATGACTTACTGGACCTTAGACTGCTGGAGCGGAGGGGGATAGAGGCTCCAGGGACCAATAACCAGCCGGGATTGTGGTTCAGGTGAGTAGAATTTATTTTAGCCCCTAGGCAAAGCAAGCTCTTAGCCCTTGCAGTAGCCCAACTGCAAGGGTTAAGATTGGAGCGCTTTAATTTCAATGGGCTGCCCTGCACTCTAAAAATTCGGCAGAGAAGCTCATGCAGCTTTTCTTGACAGCCTGTTTTTGTGCATTTGTTGCACGTTTCTGTGCATGCAAAAACGCATTCTTGGTTGCTGCCTTTGGGGTATTATTAACAATGAATGACACTGCAAGCACGATACACGGTCACGTGCATACCAAGTGTTAATGGCGCCCTTACTCATCTAGATGCTGATTGGCTGTTTGTCATTTCTGCCCTTTATTATACCTGTGCACCCCACAATACCATAACCTCCCATATTTTCTGAGATGAGTCAGAGGAACACCTTCCAGCACAATACAGTTAGACAATGGATACACCCCTGCCACATCATCAGTTATGCAGGCCATTAAGAACTTATATTCTTTAGTTAAACCCAGAATTGATGTTCAATATCACTTTTCCTATATACTGACTCTTTAAAAGAGCACACAAGAAAATTTAGGAGATAATAATAAAAAAATGGTTTTATTGCAGAATAACACTTTTGGTAGTTACATTTTTACATTTTGAAAAATATCTTAACATCAGATCAAAAATAGGGACCAATGAGGTGGAAAGATGGACAGTGAGATTTAGTTCCAAATGAGAGGACATGGAAGTTATGCAATACATTTAAAAAAACCCTATTCAGTCTGTCCCAATTGAATACACGTTTTCACTCCCTCTGTAACCTGTAAAACTGGTCAAGGAAAAAAATGTGTTTGCTTAAGCTTTTTATTATAATCTGCAATCTGGCTGCAGGTGTAAGTTTTGTTTCAAAGCATTTAAGCAGAAAAGTAGAATATGCATGAAAACAGGGCGCCCTCTGCTGGCTGACTTTCCACACTGCTTCTGTATACAAGGTGAAAACTGTGCATGGTGTGATAATATGCTCCAATACTGTAAGAGTAAAGTGACACCAAGCTCAGGAGTTAAAACTTAAAATTCATTCAAGTAACTTAACTATTCTTCAACCCAAATGTTTCTTATTTGTGTATCACTCAGCTGTATATCCTCAAATCATCTCTGAATTGGTGCTGACACTGTCCTTCCTTCTGGAGGGGGGACTACTTTTGTTCACCATGGTCTGTGTGTGTGTTGTAAAGTAGCCACTGCTCCAAGCTCGCTCCCGTGATGGACTACAATTGCAATACAAATTAGCAAACTAAATGTGAGATTGTAGTCCATCACGGGAGCGAGCTCTTACGCTAATTGGCGACTCTCATTTGCGCTTTAGCCATGTTTTTGCTTCTAGCTTCAACCAGCTTTAGGACTCATGCACACAGCTTTAAAACAAATGCTGTGTTTTTATCAGTATAGCTTTTTTTTTTTTTTATCTGAACGCAGTTGTATTGTTTTCTATGGGCCCATGCATACAGTAATAAAAGATTAATGAACGTTCAGATCCATAAAATCAAAATAAAAAAAAACAATTGTCCACAGACCTGCATATGGATTGTATTTTACGCTGTACATATGAAAATGTTTGAGCTAACATTTACATCTGTACGCCGTACAACACATATGTACTGTAATGGTCTGCTCAGGTATGACATGAAAATATCAACAATGTGTATCAGCTTGATTACACACTGTTGAATCGACATGTCGGACTAGAATGGCTGCCTTGGTCCTAGCAACCTAGAAAGAGGCTGCAGCAAGAAGAATGCTTGAATCAAGGTAAGGAATGGGGGCGGGGGTTAATTGCCAATGATCGCCAGTAGGATTGTTTAAGGGTGAAGGGAGGGACGTATGTAATGTGCCAGTGACCACCAGTGATTTGGGGGAGTTGAAATGCCACTGACCACAAATGATTGGTGGATTGTTTTGGGGGGTTTAAAATTACCACTGTCCACCAATGCTGTGACATTTGTTTTTTTTTTGGGGAGGGGGGGGGGTGTTGTGGGTGAAAGTGCTGCAGAGCACCAATCATAAAATGAATAAATAATAAAATGAGCCCTCTCATCAAAAAAGGTGGGTTCCCAGCAGCTAGGTTAGAGAGCACTGATAGTCTTTGTAGGGAGAGTTGAGTGCTATTCAGTGTTATACTGTGCTATACTGCACCAAATTACTGTGGATTCCACTGTGGTGGGCTACATAAACATATTCCAATGTAATCCCTTGTTCTCAGTTCAAAGACCCAATGCTTGCACAGTATGCACTGTAGCTTCTGTCTTGCCCTGTAGCCAGTGTGTTGCCAGAGGACCCTCTGTGCAGTAGAAGGTTTTGTTATGGAGAGCTAAATGCACCTGTTCCCTGACGATGTGCACTGCTCACTGCCAATATTGGGTTACCAATAACACAAACCCTGCTGCTAATGCTACAGACCAAACATTTGTCATTTAGCTCCCCCCCCCCGCAAAAAAAATGATACCCACCACCATTACCAGCTTGTGCTACCTCTGGCTTATTCTGCTGTTCAGACACTGTGAAGGTGGCACTCAGTGTCTGGGGTCTATTCCAGTGCTCCAGCATTCACAAATACTGGTTGCTATTGCCTCCCAACTAACCAACTAATACAATCTAATGTTTATTTCTAGATAAAACTTATCTTGTCTTTACGTCTTATATTGAGGCCGAACCAAGCCACTCACATACTGTCCAGCTATTGTACAATGTTTGTGGCTTTTGTCTCTCAAAATATTACATTCTAATGTTAATTTCAAGATATAACCCGCCCTATCTCTTCCTCTTATCCAGCCTATTTATGTGCTTGTGTACTGTCCTGATACTATCCAATTTCTACCAGACACATACCAGAAGAATATTTTGGGAATAATTGGGGATACAGGGATTGGAGAGGATTTGTGGAATGTGGGGCTGTGGTTTTTAAGTGTTTTTGTTCACTTTGTTTTGACATTTTACTAAACGTTAAAGAAAATGCAGTCTGGTACTTGCTCGCAAACTATAATACCAAATATTTTTTGCCACTGACCCATTTGAATGAAATTGAGGGCTTTAGCTTTATTTTTTTATGAGTAAACTTCCACTGATGAATTCAGACCGCTTAAGACCCCGTTCACATTGAGCGATTTATCGCAAGGTAATTCCCGCGATATCGCGGCAAATTACCGCGCGATATCGCGCTCCAATGCAATCCAATGGGGCAAAGGGTCCTGCTGTCGTGGGTCGTGTGTCGCTACAGCAGGACCCTTTTTGGAGCGGATTTAGCCACGATTCAAGCTTGCTCAATGCAAGCTTGAACGCGACATCGCGCAGCAAATCTCGCGATGTCGCGCAATATGCAAATCGCACGACAAACGTAATTTATCCAAAGTAAATTATTTCTTCTATTCACTAGTAGTCATTAAGGATAGCATAACTTGACTGAGCGTGGTATAAAACAAATAAAAACAATTAAGATGACAAACGGTTACAAGACTGCGGTCTCATCTTCATATATGATATAAACCGTAAAAGTGTTCGGGGACTTTGCAAAGTAAACAACAAAGTTATAATTCTAGACTCTCAATATTTCACCTTCTCCGGGGATCATCCTGATTGGAAGGAATGGAAGTCTGATGTGCAAGATATAAATATTATATCTACTGGGACGTCTTGTGGTCTCTAAGCATCACTCTTGTTTACTGAGTTTCTATTACAAGATCCAGCAAAGGTTTTATTCTATGTGTGTGCGCAGAGTCATGAGCTGAATGGAACCATGAGACATGTGATTTGCTAATAGCCAAAGTGCTTTGCTGCCAGTATTCAGATATCCTTCAGCATTGGTTGGCCTATTGTATTGTATTAAAACGCATGCTTCTTCTTTATTTCCTGGGTGGCCCTTTTTAGAAAAATAATGTGCTGTGATCAATCTCATAAGATTATTACTCACCTCTGCCCAGCATCATGGCACACAGATAGAGTCACCTGGAAAAATTATCTCCTATTAAACCACGGGTATATCTAGCACACGGGGAAAATTACATACAGTATGCATTAACATTGATTTCATTAACACAGTATGGGCCTCTTGGGCCAGGTTTGCAACCCAGAAAACCATATCTAATGCAAGCATCTAAATCATAAAACTATATTCATACCTTGCCCTCGCCTTTTTCAGGATTTACATACACTTTGTTGTTGCAGTGAGCTAAATATATTCCTAGTTCATGCCGCAGTATACAAGGATTCGTTTTTTTTATCAAATACAAATGCCACCTAGCTGTTTTTTTCACAGCCTGCACTGTATTTTGTTGATTATATTCTATTTTGGAAATCTAATAAAACATCTTTGCCTATAGACATGGCCAAAACCATGGCAATTTGATGGCGTAATCCAATATTCAGTTCTGTTTTCTGTTAAGACTGCAAAACAGTTGAAGTCATAAAATGGTGGATTTCATTGGCCACAAAGAGATGAGAATAAAATTGCCCCAATCAAACCTACTATTGACAAATTTGCTGTAGTTTTTTTTCCATCGTCAATGTATTGGCCAGTTTCTCAGGCTAGGTTCAGACCTGAGCGACACCCGGGACGCCCATCCCTGGGTGGCGCGATCGTGTTCTAGTGCACCAGCGGTTGCCACGCGGCCCCACTGATTTCAATGGGGTTAAATCCGCCCGGCAATTGCTAAAAAAAGGTACATGTAAACACACGTGATCGTGTTCAATTGCACGGGCGGAATTGAGGTGGGCAACCGCCCATGTGTGAACCTAGCCTTAATCTACAGAATTCTGGTAGTCGATAAAATTCATAGGTAGTAGATTTCTTAATTTTTTCACTTTTACTTGCAATCATATTTGTGATTCCTTGTGGATGGACAGGGGTTGAAATGAAGTGAAAACTTGATGTACGAACAGGTTTAGACTTGTTGTGGCAAAAAAGAACTGGCCCTATGTGCATGTGTAATTGCAAAATATATATAAAAATAAACCACATATAACTGTAGAACACAGTGATAAAATATTTGAATTTTTTTGATCTCTTTTACATTTATATCTACACAACATTAGAAATCTTATAGTCTTTTTTTTTTAAATTTGCCATATTCAGGTCTTATATTAAATGCCATCTTGATTAATAGACCTTATTTTTTCAGGGTACGTGAATATTGCCTGAAAAAAGGATGGCAGCAGATCCACGACAACAAGAGAGATGACTACAAGCTGAAATGGTGCGAAACCAAGACCTCAGCCACCTACAATGCCTTCCGGGAAGGTTAGAATGCATACAATGTGTGCCCCATGCTGAAACACAATATTAATAAAGCTTTTGTTCCACATATTCATCCGACCATTACACAGAAATATCTGATTATGTTATCGTTTTTTCAATTTACTCCACTTAGCACTAACAAAAAATAAATATATATATATATATAAAACAGCAAAGAGAGAAATATTGAGGCTGCCATTAATGACAACCTGCTATAAAATGCTGATTACATGGATGTAATACGGATTCCCTGTGTCTTCAGTAACTGTAATTGACCCGAAAAAATTATGCAGCATGTAAAGTCACATTGAAGTATGACCTGATTCCAGGCTGGAATCTCAAAGTAATAAACAAAAAGGTAACCAACTATCATTTAAAGAAAAAAAAAGTGGAACTCCAGGAAAAATGACCTCTTATGATAGGTGTCACATGTGTGGCTGGCTGCAGCGTTAGTTAAAACATATACTTTAATGCATCCGTGCAACTACAAGTGCCAAACTTAATGGGGTATATCACAGCTCTGTTTCTCTTACAGCCAAGTAGAGCATTGCTCACTCTCCCTCTCGTATTCTCTTTACAGAATACAAGGTGTACTGTGATTGGGCAAGGGGAGAGGAGAGGCTGATAAAGATCAGGACCTCCCCTTGCCCAATCACAGAACACCTTGTATTCTTTGAAAAGCATACAAGACATTTTATAAATGAAGGAAGAGGGCGACTGAGCCGTGCTCTTCTTGCCTGTATGCAAGGCAAATATCCAAAAAGATTTTTTTCTGGAGTTCCATGAGAAAAAATTAAATCGATCTGACTATGTTGCATCCTAATATATGGATGTAACATGAAACATGGTCAGAAAGGTCAACTAAACTTTTAAATTGCATTATAATGTCTATCTATATATAGATATATCATCTACCAGAATATTAGTTTTGGGTGGATCAAGCCATTGTCTCTTGCTGCCCCACCAGGAAAACATAAAATATAAGCTATACTTCCATAAGTTGCTAGTATTAATTTTAGTTTCAGCATTAGTTTTGACTGCATGAAAAAAGCATGTCATCTATAAGGAGGTTTTGTATCTGATTAATGCATACTTTCATGTTTTATGTTTAGGTGAACAACTTTTGTACCAAATACCCAACAATAAGGTGCTCACCACAAAGATCGGACTTTTATGCAGCCTACGAGATTATGAAAGAGTCATGCAAAAAATCAACAAAGCCAGGTGAGCAATGATCTCCGGTGACAACATAGATTGGAAATAATACCTTTCCCTGATACATTTGTTGAGAAACCATTTGGGGCTTTTTAAATGAAACACTGGCCACTTCATTTTCTAGATGTTAGTTACTCCATTCATGTGAAGCATCATTTAAAATGCATGCCTTTATGTCATGTTGCCAGTCACGCTGTCTCTTATACTAATATGATAGGTTACATCCTTATGTATTATCTATAAAGGATTTGTATTAAAACACAATGAGATATAAGCCTACAATAAGACTTCTAATATGCTTGTGCTCATTTCCCTGGATTAAAGGTTGTTATATCATTGCAGGGGCTTTGTAAACATAGTTCACACAAAAAAATCATGCTTCCATGGCCAGCAGTATGTTGTTTGGTAAAAGAAAAAAAAAATATACATTGAGGGAAATTTATCAAAACTAGAGCAGACAAAATCTGGAGCAGCTGTGTATGGCAACCAATCATCTTCTCTCTCTCATTTCAAATCTTAACTGAACAAACTGAAGAGAGAAGTTGATTGGTTGCCATGGACAATTGCTCCAGATATTGTCTGCTCCAGTTTTGATAAATTCCACCCAGTATATCTATATCAATTAAACAAACTAGTACTTATTTAAAAACAGAGTTACCGTATGTTGCAACAAGGTTAGATGAATGAACAACATATGATTGCTTGTGATGGGGCGCACATCTTTGCTGTGCATTACTGTACGTCGTGTTAATGTACATTGCGTTAAGACAGCTCATTTACGCCAGCAGCGTTGGGCTGCATTTCCCAACATAGTTTCAACACAGGAAAAAGGAAATGTACTTTATGTCATATTGCTTTAGTTCACACCAACAGAGTTGGTAAAAAAAAGTAGGACATGTTACGTTTTTTTTGTTTTGTTTAAATGCACACCGACATGCATGTTTTTTATATTCAAGATAACACATGCACTGTGGTGTGAATGGGCTTTTATTTAGGCTGCCTAATGCACCAAAATGCAGTAAAAAGGAGCATGCACTAGTTTAACCAATGCAGGACACCACAATGCACTGTATCGTGGTATTGCATGAGGTTCTGCGTTGCAACGCATGTGCATTAGGAAAGCCATTCAGAATTAATGCAACAGTGTAAATGGGTTCCAGTGGGGCTCCTGCATGAAATTCAGAGAAATATAAAACATAATTTTTAAAACAGATAACCTTAAAGCTGAACTACAAGCAAAACTTTATTATTTGTTTGAAATATATAGCTCAAAAGCCACAAAATATATAAATCCACTCTGTGTGCAATAAATTATTTTAGAACCCAGATAATACCTTGTACAAGTAGCAGTGACATCATCACTGAACATGTGCTGAACATAGCCAGTGCAGGGAGCCGAGATGTGGGAGGGGCCCAGCTAAATTACAGCAGGGGGCGGATACAAGACCAATCACCCTGCACAAGGAGAGAGAGCGGCAGTGACTGGTCTTTATTACAGGAAACTCTGGCACAGCAGCTAAGTTTCACACTGGATTACAGCAGGATTCTGGATGAAATACCCAAAGCACAACAAGATTCAAGCAAGAATACACTTGCTCTTGTATTTAGACAATATTTTCTTATCCAAGAGTTTAGCTTTGAACATTTGAAATGAAAATGACCCCAAACCAGTTTTCTTTTAAACAGTACATGTATTTGAAAGTTCCATACTTCCTAAAGGAGCGACAATTATCAAAGGGAAACAACAAAGGGGACAGCTAGGAGATGTATGATACTACATTGTGCTGTATCATTTGGTCAATGTTGGTCTCTATTTCTGTCCATCAACAGGATGCTGAAAATGGCAGATTTTTTCCCCGAGACTTACCGCCTGGATTTGAAAGAAGAGTCTGAAGCATTCTTTTCTATCTATGAAGGTAAACAAGTAAACGCACAGCGCATTGATTAGATTCAAAGTTATACTTTCAGGTTTCAACAATCAACAAATTATGGATACAAATATTGAGAACTTACTGTAGAACTAAGGTAGGCCTGTCAGTAAACATAACAATAAGTAGGCTTAGTATTGTTTTTGTGAGCTGTAAAAATACACTTAGGCCCCTTTTCACACGGGCTGATCAGTAGGGAATATATACACTGATCCCCTCCTGATTGGAGCAGTACAGATTGAATGTCACTGATGTGACATCTGTGTCAGTCCAGTTTTTTTCCTCTGCTTGCGATGGAGGAAAAAACTGAAATGACCAGGCCCATGTTGGTCCTTGAAGAATCTGATGTAAATTGACTTGTTTCCATATACATGAGATTACCTCTGATCCGGCATGATCAGGTCCGGCGAAACGGAACACTGTTCCGTTTGCTTTTCTGGACCTGGCCAGAGCCGGGGGCAACCAGGTGTAAATGGATGCCTGTCAAGTTAGATCTGGCTGCCCATGGACTTACACTGGGCATCCGATCATGTCCGCCTAAAATAATGACAGATCAGACTGTCTGAAAAGGGCTTAAAGGTACACTCCAGTCAAAGTTGAAAATGGGAAATTTTCTTAATTTTAATTTAATTTTCTTAATGCAGCAGGCAATTGCTTACCTGTAAAATCCCTACTGCCAGCTAATTCTAGGAACACTATCCCTCTTCCACTTTCAGTGAGCTGTGGGATATTCCCAGAACTGAAACTACAGATCCCATAAGACTCTAGACATCCTTCTAGAAGCAGATGCATCATAGGATTTGTAGTTTTACTACAGCTGGAGGGCCAAAGCTTGACTATCCCTGGTATAAAGCAGCTCAATTTATATTGCGTTATATTGCGCTGGAAAAAAGGTAGGCCTGCTCTATTTGTTTTCAGTGCAGGGCAGTGGACATCAACACTGCGTGCTGCTCGCATTCACACCCTTTCACACCCTTTTCAGATGCTCTTGTGTTGGCATCTGTTGAATATACCCATTTTGTTTTATTTTCTAGATGGCCAGACTTGGATTTGTAAACCTACTGGGCTGAATCAAGGACGTGGCATCTACTTGCTGAAAACCCAAGAGCAGATTGACACTCTTCAGTGCCAAATCCAGACCATGATGGAAAACTCCATGTCAAAGAAAATTCCAGCAAGATGCCCACAAGCTCGAATTGTGCAAAGGTAAGGATAAGTTATTACAATGCAGCAATTCTACCCATACCTCAAATAGACATGGCTTGTTTAAAAACAAGAAACACTGTATAGTTGTGAAAAAAAATCAGTTTTTCACTTTCTTGTTAAACATCAATCATTTCTGATACTCAGATTCTGTCTCAGATTCTGGACCCGAAAACACTGTAAGTGGTGCACAGGAAAAACACAGGTCACCACTAGGGCATATAGAAAACAATTGTTTTCCATGTGCCATGTTCACACCACAATGCTGGTGTGATGGGCAGTGTGCTGTAGAAAAATGTAGCATGCTAAAGTTTTTCGCATCACACCAGATGCCACCGCACGTTAGCGTGTTGCTGTATGGGGACCTGAATGGAGTGTACACATTGAACACTACCGATAAAGTAGCTGCCAGTGAGAGTTGCAGCAACACATTAGCCCGGAGCATTTTAGCAGACTGCCTAGTGTAAATAGGTCCTTACACTTTGAGAATGCATTAGTAATTACTATTATCTGGAGTGTAAGGCCTGGTTCACACCTGGGCGTTTTGTAGCGTGTTCGAACGCTCTGCAAAACGCTCAAACACCGAAATCCCATTATTTCCTATGGGTATGGTTCACACCTGGGCGTATTACAGGCCGTATGGACGCGCTACAAAACGCCCTACGCCCAAAGAAGTACAGGAGCTTCTTTGGGGCGTTTTTGTCGCGCGTTTCCATTGGGATACAGCCAAGCAGCCCTCGGAATCGCGGTAAAAACGCGCGTCACGAAACATGCGACAAACGCGCATATTCGATGCGCCTAGGTGTGAACCCAGCCTAAACAAATTAGGCCTGTTTTTTTCTGTTGGATGTTAGTTATATTCTATGAATTTCCAATATTACTTACATGATACTTTATTTACACACTATTGACAACATTTTGATAATTTTCAGGTCAATTTGTAATTTTGTAGACATGAAATAACCATATAAGGCTTTGTCCTTTACTGGATTAAGTCATACAGGGCTATTCAAAAGGGTGAAGAGTTTGGAGAAGGCAGGAGAAGCAAACAATCTAGGACAAAGTAGCTGATTTGGAAAAATTCTCCAATTCAGCTCACTGTCCAGTTGAGTTATGTTGTCCTAGATTGTTCACTTCTCCTCCCTCTCCAAACTCTTCACCCTTTTGTGAATAACCCCCATAGACACTTGGACCTCTCACGGGCAGGGCCCTTCTAACCATGTTGTCTTGATTTGTAACTGTAATGTCCTCCTTGTAAAGTGCTGCACAAATTGTTGGCGCTATATAAATCCCGTATAATAATAATGATAATAACAGTGCATTTGCACTCGTCAGGGACCCTCACAGCAAGCATTATCTGGGGGGAACAACTGAGCTAGAAAAATTAAGTTTGGTAAGTGCATTTCTGCTGACATCCATCTGCCTAGGTGTTGCTAAGGTCACAAGGTCTTGTAAAACCCATAATCATCCTTATTTAATATCCAGGAAATAAAAACCCCTAAAGTCACCCCTAAAAAATTATTTGTAGTGCATTAGTAGAGCTTCCCACTTATTACTAAACTGTTGAGTTCTGGATATCTCAGCTACCTGTAAGTAGTAGAGGACTAGGACCCAACTTTCAGGAAGGGTGATGTTCTAACTGGGGGACCAAAGAAATATCAGGCGATGGCTTACAGCTGTACCCAGATACAACTTAATTTACACTTACTACAACACACAGATTTGTTTTTAACCCTTAATTAAAAGAGCAGCTGATTGGATATGATAAAAGTGAGGGTACCCACACCTGTCCAAACTTCGGTTCCTCTCCTGGTAACGCAGCATTATCATTTTCATATGACAGTTATCAGAATTTTGGCTTTATGCTTTATAACCCTGATTCTCAACCAGTGGCAGTGGACCCCAAGGACTACTTATTGTTAATTGCAGGGGATATGTCTGCTTGCTATTGTAGATTCATCAAAGCAGTTTAGTGTTTTAGAAAATAATACAGCAATGGATACATTGATATTCATATTTTAAAACAAAAGGGTTTGTTTGTAATTCATTTTACGGCAAATAAGTGTACTGTAAATGTATGTACGGACATCTAAGGGTACTTTAGATAAGGTGACCTGCTCCAGGGGGTACTTGTTAAACTTTAGTATTTTTTATGGTGTACATATTTTAATAAAGTTGTGAAACATGGCATTATAAAAGTTAATTAGCCACCCTGGGCATGTGTGTCTGTTTACTAAAACTAACGTCGTAGGAATACAGACCATTCACATCCCTAATGCTTATGCTTACCATGGTCTTTCCCTTTGTAACAACTCCCCCTGGTGTATATATAAAAAAGCACAATACTAGAATTATTAAGTCTCCATTCACACTTCAGCTTTTTTTTTTAAATTAAGTTTTACGTGCGGTTTTAGGCATTTTTATGCATGTTTTTTTCAGGCTTGTTTACAAAGAGAAGGAGAGCTGCTTCTTATGTAAAAAATGTGGAAATAATGCCTAAAATCACATGTATCAGTCAGGCATTCCCATAGAAGTTAATGGGGCTAAAATCTAAAAAAGTAGCTCAGGTGCTTTTTCCAGCAACATACGTTTGGCTACAGGTGACAGAACGCTCAGATGTGAACAGGGACCATTGAGAACAGTGGAAATCATTTGTTTGAGCTTTGTAGTACTTAGCCCTTTCAGCTACAAAAACCTAAAGGTGAACAGAGCCCCAAAAAAACTGTACTGAGAGAATATGGAGAATGGCATTGCTGACCTCTCATCTTTAAAATGCTAGCTGTCTGGCTGTCTTACTAAGCATGTAACATTAAAGAGGGGCTTCAGCTTCAAAGGTTTTCCCCTTCCACTGCCCCTTTTCTATTTCCACTGCTCCAGTCTGGTGACGTTATGGATCCTTCCTCTTTTTTCCTTAGTGGTAGCAAGGGGAGGGTTTTCCTCTTGGACTGAGCGGCAGTCCGTAAGGACGTGGGAGCACTGCTCAGTCCTGGGGTATTGTGAGGCCAGCCTGCAAGATGATGGACCCCCTGGGGGTGTGTTACTGACAGGCTTGGCTCACAAGTAATGGATAGAATGATGCTGGGGGTCGTTCTGCCCGAAGAGTGGCACTGGACGGAATTTTTTATATATAAACATCAAAAGCAATCGGGTAACATGCGTAGTATTAGGCTGTACAATAAGCAAGACAGTAACAGACACAACAGCTCGTATGAGTTCAATAATATACATATTATCCACTTAGCTTGAGAGCAAAATGTTAGAAACAGTAATAGAGAGTGCATCAGTGTTGCTAATATAAGGGTCCATACCATCTGTTATTTAGGATGTATTATCAAGGTATGCATCTTGTGTTTAATTACCTGTGGTTAACTGGGAAAACAAGTGGGAATTAGGAAAAGGAGATCAAGAGTAGACAGAAAATGGAGGAAGGAAAAAAGATAAGAATAATAGAAATTGTGAACTGAGCTGCACCTCCAAATAGTCAATAAGTAGATAGCAAAGAGGCCTTGTCAGTCATAGACAGTTACATGTAACTGTTCAGTGAAAATAATTTAACCCATGGGTCCCAATTAGCTATAAACTATTTATTTAATACAGACAGGGAAGGAAAACAAAAAATGTAAAAATATATTAATTAGAGTTCTGCAATAATACTTTTTCTGACAGCCAAAGCTGGAAAAAAATATGTAGTTCAGGAGTTAAGATCTAAATATTCCTGCTTATTCCATGTCAACGACTTCAAAATGTGGACCTTCCATCATCTAATACAATTTTGCAGTTTTAGTTAGAGCTTTTCCTTGACTACAATATAAAACAACAAATTTCCATCAAAAACAATGTACCGCTTTGGCATGCTAAAATCCTGAATAATCATACCGCCAGGGAGGTTAAAGAACCCCATTCAAATTGATCTGAACTGAAAATGAAAAATTCAAATTACAAACTGAATCAAATTTTGGATCCAAAATCCCCCCCAAATTGTAATCGATCTGAAACGAGACAAACGTTTTGAACCTTTACATGTCTGCTACAAAGTTGACATTGAAAGTTAAGGAACATTCTGCAGTCCACCCCTGCAATGCACATGTCTAATACCTCTCCCTCTAGTGGTAATAGTAGCCAAACAATTTAGTTTAACGATTCAACAATAATAGTATAAATCGCCCTACACTGATAGAAAACTTTGGAAACAATAGAGCTTAGTGCACAATGACCTGTTGCAAGTAAATGTTGCTGAAAGGGGTGAAAATAATAGCAACTCCACAGCATTCAAACACAGCACATTGACAGTGCAAGCTGTTCCCAGGCCCCAGATGTTACAAAGGCCACAAATGGGCAGATGAAGATGGCACTGCGCTGAATACCAGGTTTCTTCCAGTAATTTATGGTGAAGGAAGTATTGTGTTGGGAGAATGGGGAAGAACTGAATTCCATTTTTAAAACAGGCCTCTGACACATTTGTAAAAAGGAGATTACAAAGTGCCTGCATACTTTAAAAGGTGCAGTGCTTTATTAATGGCATACTTGGTTTAAATTCCTTCTGATCTGATATTTTTTTTTAAACTTAAATTACAATAATTTATGTATGTGGTCTTTTGTATCTAATTATTACCTCTAAATATTCAGGACCATCTAATGTATATAAACTGCACTGTCCTGAAGCGGTTATACCAAGATTACGGCTACTGGATCTTGGTACCGTATTTTTACAGCTGTGATGGCTGTCACGTACAAGCATTCGGGCGGCTCTATAGATTGCTTGTATGGAGCTGCAAAGTCTGCGTCCCCCTACCACCGCCAGCAATCCTGGACTGCACCTCGATCGGAGGGAGATCAGCACCCTTCCTGCGACTAATCTCCCCTCTGATCAATGAACCTGGAAGCAATGTGTGTTACTTCAATTCCGGTTTCAGTGTGTCATTTCTCTGGCTACCGTGGCCAAGAAAGAAGAGAGGAAATATAATCTGTGCTTCATTAGCATTTTTTTGGTTTCACAGGTGACATTAGGGGTCTAACAGCCCCCTAATTTCTCCATAAGGAGGACTTGTCATATCCTCTTTGCTATTACATAGGGGACTTTTTATCCCCCTATGTGATAGTAATAAAGTTAAAGTGGCACTAAACTAATGAGTTAAACCTTAAAAATGCATCCAAGTATTAGACTAAAATCGGAACACAAATTAGTAAACTAAACGTGAGATTGTAGTTCGGCTTTAAGCACACCACACATGTAGTCTGACTGTACGATCTTATTTGGATCAACTACCGTATGTAGTAGAAGGACCAGCCAGATTGTAACATATATGGTGAGCTTGGTGTGGTTATCTCACTGAAATATAGTCTGGTTGTTGTGCTGTTCACTTTTTTAAGGAAGTCACATGTTCTGCGTACTAACTACACATTATAAGGAGTTACCATCATTTTCTTTTATTTCAGATACATTCCAAACCCTTTACTGTTGGAAGGAAAGAAGTTTGATATTCGTTCCTACTTGCTTATAGCATCTACTGTGCCTTTGTATGCATTTTTCTGCCATGGCTATGTACGCCTGACCTGCACCACATACGATCCAAAGTCTGATGACCTCACAGGTCACTTGACCAACCAGGTTTGTTAAAGGCATACAGACACCCTGAAGCTAAACTACAGTGTACATTTAACGCTCCTTTGTCACACACTTTATAATGACATTATATATACTGCTGTTCATTTTCTAGAACAACTTCACTTCACATGATATCTTTTCAAAGTCTAGAAATCACTGTGCTTATTTCATAAGGCAAAGAACAATTATATAATAACCTATAATAACCAATCAGAAATTGTATTTTACTGATCTGACATTGCTCTCTTGCTTTAATAAAGTCCAGTTACTAAAAGCAATATAGATACAATTAAGAGACGGAATCGTCTGCAACAGTTTCAGCTGTCATTGCTCTTCCTCAACCTCACTGATAATTTGATAAAGACTATTTATAGAGGACACAGAGGAAACTCACAATCCTTTGCCAAGAAACCACAGTCATGCAGATCAACCATCGTGTTGTGCAAGTCATATGTGTACAAATAAAACTGTGTTCAGGAGAATCCATGGTACTTAAAGTGGACCTTCACTTGAGAATTAGATCCATCATCATCATTTGATGGCACTCCTACCCACCTAGGAGAGGATGAAGTTTCCCCAGTTCCCTAGTTTGGCAAAGTTTCTCTTTGAAAAAGGTTAACTCCCAATATAAAGCAGGTAACCAAATTGTACTCACTGACATGTAACAGTGTCTAAAAAAGATGTCACAGTTTTAAACACAAGACTATTTAGAGCTAAATACGGTTTCCAACATAATCCATTTTAAATGAATACAGATCATAATCTTTATTTCCACTGGGTGTGATGCTGACATAATGTTGATTGACCATGCCTCTCTTATTTGATAATAATGATCTAATCACCTTACCTCTTTATTTAGGTGACTGGCATGTGCTTGTTTATTTCAAATTATTATCATTGTGGACACTGTTTATGTACTGTAGATCTAAGGTTTTTCCATTTGCATATATTTCCCTTGCATGGCTCTAATGTGAAAGGACTTTCTGGGTAAGTTGGGTTGAGCACCTGGCCACATCCGCTCCCACCTTCTAAGCTTCCTCAGGAACTGTACCCAGAAAGCCGCTGCATTTCCAAAGACTCCACATTTTGGGCACCAGGTGTCCCTAAACTGAAAAGAACCTGGTGTGCAAGTCCGCCTTGGTGTTGGGGAATTTTGAACTAGGCTTAATTCAGGCTATAGGCCTGGTGGTTATGGTCTTGTCCCCCTCTGCTTGTTATGTAAGGATGTTGTTGGATTGAGTAAGTTTATTACACTTCAGGTTTTCGTTAGTATGTCATGAAGTGTATCATGTGAATCCGGTGTAATACCCCACATTTTAAAGACAGTTACAAGTTACAACACACAGTGGGGGGAATTAACAAATCTTCCTGCGCCATTATAATTGTGCAGGAAACAGGTCTATGTGGTGCACGCCACTCTCTGCAGTTTCAAGGTGCAAAACAGAGCAGATCGCTCCTAATTAATGATGGAGCTTGCATCCCTTATGTTATTTATGAGCAGGATCTGCTCCATTTGTTCAATCTAGAAGAGTGGTGCAGGCTTTATGCTTGCACCACACTTTGCTAGTTCCTCCAATTGCAATTCATGGCAAAAGGGCATTGAGACACAGATAAATCTGGGTCAACTCCCGGGTAAAATAAGGTTTCAACTGACATCTCTACTTAGCTCATTCATACTTCCATCCAATCTCACTTTTTGTTATGTTTATTACATCCTTTTATGTGTTGTTCTTTGACACATCATTTTACAATTTTTTTACCAGTACATGCAGAAGAAGAACCCACTTTACAGTGAGATGAAAGAGGAAACAGTGTGGGGAATGGAAAGATTTAACAACTATGTCAACGAGAATTTTGCTGCAGCCAAGTCTCTGCCTCAAGACTGGGTACTCAATGTTTTTACGGTGAGGAATCATCATGGTAGCCATATGCATAATGCCTTATTTTACAAAACAAATATGATAAATGGGTGAAGTAATGATTTTGAAGAGTCTTTGCCACTGTTGTAAATCCCTTGTAGCCTGATTCGCTAAGCTTTTCACAGTGTTTCAGTGTGATACTGATTCTCATGTTCCAGAGTATTTAGAAAAGACTGCACTGAGTTAACAGAAAATGGGTTGCTTAAACCATTGAACACACTGAACTCCATTTTTGCAGGCTCAGGCTAAGGGCCATTCGGATGATGAGGATACTGACAATTCTCTAATTTACCTAGTAGGGTAGCGTTGAGTAAATAGATACCAAATATGGTGCCAGAATTTCTGCTCTCACTCCAGCATGCGTAGAGATTTTCAATTTGTGTGGCGCAGTCATGATTTAATATGTAGGCAAATCCAACATATATGTTTATGTGGGTATGTGATAGCTGATAGCCCCCCATGTGATAGCATACTGCTAGTGAAAGGTCCTGTTTAAGGAGACATCAGGGGTCTTTTAGACCCCTAATGTAACTTTTGAACCCTGATGAGGCTGATAAAGCGCAGATTATCAGCCCAGAAACCAGAAGTGACAAAATCCTTGTTGCTTCTGGGTTCATCCATTGGAGGGGAGATGAAACATTGCTGATCTACCTATCCTTAATGCGCTGAAACCCACTATGGCTGTATCAGGCTTGCAGGAGGGGCATCGGAGCCTGGGATACATGGTGTGGGTAGTTGGCAGGGAAGAGGGAAGATGTCACTTTGCAGCCTTTACAGCCACTCAAATCACTTCTATTAGAAAGCTGACAGCTGGGAAAATATGAACAGACTTTAGGGTGCTATAGCAAACAGGAGTCGGTTTACAGGTCCCTGCTGCCACAGATATAGCACTTACTTTTCTGGCTGTGAAAGGGTTAATTCGTACTCGGCCTTAAAAAAGTGGTATCGGTGCATCCCTAGTTAAAACCCAATGGAATTTGAATTTTAAATAAGCTAAATATATTCCAAGTGCATCAAAACAAAAGGTGTGCAAAGTCTTACAGTGTTTTTTTAAAGCAGCAAAAGCCTTAATAGCAAAGGCTGCCCCCCTGCCAGCATGCCGCAGTATGTTTTCTGTGTGGAAGCATTGGTCTCCCTTCAGAGGTTTGACATGCGCCCTGCTGTGTCAATCCGCAAAGCTCTTGCTCTGTACAGAATGCTTTAGCTCTAACTCAGCAGGGTGTACGTTGGACCTCTGCAGAAAGGCCACTGCTTCCACACAGAGAGCATAATGCAGCATGCTGGCAGGGGGCAGACTTTTGTACTCCGTGGATGTTTTCTAAAGAAAACTAACTGTAATGCTAAAACACTTTTAACCTTTGTTTTCATTCACCTGTAATGTGCCATTAAACGGTGGTGAAATAATTTGAGTTAAAGCCCAACTGAGCTTTCTCTTTAAAACAGATAAAACATAGCTCAGCCAAGATCAGGAGTATGAGCAGTTGAACCTGCCAAAAGATTAGTGAATTAATACACAACCAAGCCATGCTATGGGCAGCATAAGTATGGTGACCAAACTTTTCAGGGCCAGCAGGTTTGCGGTTTTCTCAGTTGAAAGCATAAAATAAATGTGTTTATAGGATAGGCTATCATGGTAACATCTTACTGCACATGATGTTCAGGCAGTCTGGTGCACATGCCTGTAATTGTTTGCCTGTTATGTCATAGTCTTCCTGTCTTTGACAGAAAAGGATGCAACAGATAATGATACACTGTTTCCTGACCGTAAAATCAAAGCTGGAGTGTCGACGGGGCTTTTTTGACCTCATTGGCTGTGACTTCCTGATTGACGATGATTTCAAGGTATTGTATTACTAAAAATCTGCTCCTAAAGTATATCTTCTATCATCTTGTAGATCTATTTCAGGTACTCTAAATGCACAGGCAGCTGAGGAGTTATTACTGTTTCAACCTCATACATAGGTATTGGATTGGTTAAATGGAAACCAGTTATCCATAAAGCTCCAGAATATGGAAAATTAAATCAAATCAGTACCAGTGCACACACACACTCTTGATTACCATATATTTAAATAGTTTTGCATTGTGAACAGGAAAGTGAAATACCGTTCTACTGCCGGCATTATGCTAAATGGTAGAAGTCAACTTTGCTGGTTAGCAGACTTAGATCTACACTACAGTTTTCTTGTGGTTTCTATACAGTTGCCCCCAGACTCTATAGCACGGACTTTTTTTTTTTTAATCCTTCAAAGCACTAATTCAGCTTGACATAACGCTACTGGGAGGCTGTTAAATGATGCCTTAGAATCCCAACATAATGGAAGAACCAGGTTATACTGGTATTAGGCAAAAGATAAAAGAATATGAATAATCCATCCCAATGCCATTATATGTGGACGAAGCTTTAGAAACAACAGGTCTTTACTCATTTGCAATGTATCTGCATGACTTTTTGCCTTCCTTGCATATCATGAAATGTGCTGTGAGCTCCATGGTTTAGAATGATATGCGCAAAAGGCCAATCAGTGGCCAGGAGTTCATTGAACACTTACTGCCATGCAAGCGTTGTGTGCCCAAAAAATGAGGTCAGCTGCCTCTCTGAATATACTGAATGACCAGGTTTTACCAGCGATGGATTTTTTTTCTTCCCTGATGGCACGGCCATATTCCAAGATGACAATCATCAGGCTCAAATTGTGAAATAGTGGTTCAGCGAGCATGAGACATAATTTTCACTCATGGATTGGCCAACCACATGGTCCAGACCTTAACCCCATTGAGAATGTTTGGGATGTGCTGGAGAAGACTTTACACAGTGCTCAGACTCTCCAAACCATCACTACAAGATCTTGGTTAAAAATGAATGCAACTTTGGATGTAAATAAATGTTGTGGCAAGTGGCGGAACAATCTCCATAGCAACCCAGGCGGCCCAGCCAGGACAGCCCCCTGATGCTGTGCGGGCTGCCTGGGTTGCTATGGCATCTCAGGCTGCTGGCTGTCACTGGTGGCTGTGAGGAGGAACGTGCTGCTGTTCATGTTACTGACAACCTGTCAGTGATCTATGCAGCGGCAGCGTTCCTCCTCACAGCCGCTGCTGAGTCAGTGACAGCCAGCAGCTGTGGAGGAGGAAACTGGGCCCAGCGTCCGCAGCGATGGAGGAGGCGGGGCCTGGCGATGGAGGAGGCGTGGCCCAGCAGCGACCGTGGAGGAGGAGGAGGCGGACAGTGGATCGGGGCTGACAGGTAAGAGGGTTTGACCAGCCCACCTGAGCCCCTGCAAATCCCACCATAGAGGGTATATGGTGGGCTCTGCAGGGTCTCTCTTAGGTGGGCTGTTTGGGATATCAGGTGGGCGTAACTAGAAATCACAGGGCCCCATACTAAATTTTGCTATGGGGCCATGGGATTTCTAGTTACGCCCCTGGTTGTGACATTACATACGCTTATCAAAATGATGCCGCAGTGAATGTGTGCCGTTACCAAAGCTAAAGGTGGTGCAACGAAATACTGGAATGTGTGACTTTTTTTGGGGGGCATGCAGTGCATTTTTCAGTACTACAGAAAGGAAAATCGCCTAGTCAGATTAATACGCAACCTATAATGTAACATTAAAAGACATAGCAAGCTGGTTTACACTCCTCCCAGGAGACTTGTATTCCTTGAGCTGTTCACATGACAAGCTGTGTTGTGAGGAAGGAAACACAGACATCATGTAGTGAGATAGGATATGGGCTACATTGTGCTTTAGTTGAGGAGTGGTGTTACATTGTTTGTGCTTCTCAAAAAACACATCCCCCTTGGAGCTTATAGCTGAAGTCTAATTCTAATGCTTATATTTTGCCTTCTCTGGTCCCTCCCTCTTCCTTGATCAACATGCTGAATCAATTTTTTTATAAAACATGTTTTCATTATATACCTTGTTTTCAAACTAGCTATGTCATTACTAGGTCTTTGTGCTTCTCTATGCAATGCATAGAGGTAGTGGTAGGGGCTGGCAGGGTGCTGTACATAGTTTCCTGAAAACATCACAGCACTCTGCCTCAGTACTTCTCCCAGGAGACCTGTGCCCTGATGCAGGCAGTGGGCTGGCTCTTGGGAGGAGTTATGCAAATGTCAAGATGCCTTGATAGGTGGATGTCAGTCTGGACAAGTAAGTGTTCCTGAGCAAAATGCATTTGCATGCAGACCACCCTAAGTGCCCACATGTGATGCTGAGCCTCTGTGATTGAAAGGACTGAAATCCTATGAAAGAAAGGGGTGGGCCGGGAAGAGTCAGGCCTCTAGCCAGGAAATAAGGCGGGTGTTATCTGACTTTCTGCAGCTTCTTATGCACATTCTAAGAAGCTCACAGTGTGCAGTGAAATCAGAGCACGCATTAGTACGGGAGAGGAGCCGGTACAAATGGCCAAGACTGATGGTAAGTCTGGAGTTCAGCCTTCAGTGGGGTGGAAAGCTACTTACAATTGACAGACTATTTAAAAGGGAATTTCAACTCATATTATATTGTTTCCAAACAATATGGAACTGCACAACTACCATATTAAAACTGAACTAAATTACAACATATTGAGATGTAAGGTCAAACGTATGCACATACCTGTTATTGTTATCTGCAGCCTTGGTTAAAGCAGATAAGCACTGCATGACTTTACGTGTCAAATGGCAAGTTATTGCAGACCAACAAATGCATGACTGATTATTGATTCATAAGAACTGACATCAAAGCTTCATTAAAAGTCACATGTCCCTGCTATCTAGGAGTTGTCCAAGAACTTTGGAAATAGGAGAGGCTGGTCTCTCAAATGCCATGTTACACAACAAGCAAGACTACCACACAGGGAAGGCACATCATTAATTATACAAATTGCATAAATCTGGATGAAAAAAGAGCTGGAAAAGCAAACTACTTAATGTGCACCCGAAGCCAAAACTTTATGTTTTGGATAGAGTGGAGAGGGATCAGAACATGTGTCATGTTTCTTTTGCTGTCTGTGTCCCTTTTAGGAGGATTCACCCTCTCTATATGTCCTGGTGACCGTTATCACTGGAGGTGAAAATTAAAGAAAACACAAATTTTGGGTTGCCATCAGAACAGGAATAAATGGGAAAACTTCCATTGGGGACACCAGTTCTGGTGACCCTGCTGACCACCAGGGATTTCCCTTACTTTGGAAGGATTTCCTCTCCTCTTACTTCCTGTTGTGGCTATCAGGCAGGAAATAAAGGGACAGTTCCCCAATGTGGATGGTAAAGAAAAGACTGACAGGGGTTATACCCTCCTCCACTCTATCCAAAACTATAAAACACATGTTTTGCCTTTAGTTCTACTTTAATGTAATTTGTTGAAGATTTAATTACGTGTGGCTATACTTAGCCCAGGCCACACATCTGAACGTTGCTTGTGGTGAGTGCTAGAATACCATCCTATGTAAGAGATGCTAAAAGGACAGAAACTGGAAGATCTCTGTCAGGCTAGACAATGACCAAGGTTAAAGCTGTAGCCAAGTCTTACCTCCTAACCTTAGCTGAGTTAGGGAATGGTGGCAGAAGGTACCAGAGATGTGATAGAGAGCCAGATACTTCACCTCCCACTGCTGTCAATAAGGTCACTTTCCATCAATGGCCAGCCAGATACTTACTTCTGACTCCTTTCTAGGTGTGGCTGCTGGAAATGAACTGCAATCCTGCTCTGCAAACCAACTGTGAAGTTCTCAAAGAAGTCATCCCCAGTGTGGTCAACGAAACCCTTGGTATGTACATCTCATATCACATTTTCCACTGAGCAAAATTTGTGAATGTGTGCTTAGATTGTTGTGAGGATTACAAGTCTATTATACCAATTGATCTTCAACGCTTTTTGGTTTTGAGTAGAGAATGGGATGGTTAAAACCTAGTCTAGAGGTGCACCGAAATGGAAATGTCAGACCGAAACCGAAAAAAGAAAAATTTGTCAGCCCGAAGCAGAATTTTTTTTTTCTCTAACCTTTTTCAAATAATTTTTTTAATGATTTAGTTTTATTTTACTGATGGGGGCTCTGGGGAAATATTAGGGGTCTAAACATACCGCTGATATTTCCCTTTTGAAATAGAAAAAGAGTCTGAGGACATAATCTCTTTTTCTGTTATTAATGAACAGGAAGTCTCTATACTGAGTGCTCCTGTCCATTCATAAACTGTGAAGATAGTATGTCCACAATCATAAATGAACAGGAAGTGATTGGCACACATTAAACATACTATGTCCTCAATTATCTCTCCATCCTGACTCGCTGTCACAGGATGTTGAGCGGGCGGTGCGGGGAGGGGCGCTCAGCCACCTGTGACATGGCTGATAGCTAAATGCTCCACCCGCACCACTGGCTCTGCCTCCTGTGACAGCTGTCTCTGCCCTTACACCGCTCTCCATCCTAATCTGTCACAGAAGGCTGAGTGGGGTGGTGCTCTCCTCCACGCCCCGCTCGGCCTCCTAACAGTTTTTCCCCTCCTCAGAGGGGACATAGAGCAGCGCCCAGCAAGGAGGAGAGAAACTAGGGATGCACCGCATTTTCAGGTAAAAGAATGGTACTTTCGGCATTTTGCCCAAAGTACCAGTTTCAGCCGATATATTTCGGCGGCCGAAATTTCGGTGCATCTCTAGTTAAAACTCTTGTCAGGTTTTTATTGCTAAACAAGTCGTGATTTGTGCCAGCTTCGAGTCCTTAAAATTACCCATTACATCAAAGCCCTAAAGAAGGGGGAGTTCTTTGAGCCACCGATATGTGCAAGCCGCTCTGTGTTTTTTTTTTGTGAACTCAAAACTATCTAAGTTCCTGACTATGGGACATATATAGCAAAGCACAAACTAAGTGTCACGCCTGTTAAGGATGAGGGGGTTGTGGATCGCAACTGCAGAGGCTTCTCAGTCAGTGAAACCCTGGTTTCACTCTCTATTTAACGGAGAGTTAGGGTTTCTTGCACCACAGCCTCAATTTAAATAATCTCTGGTTTTAGAGCGGGGGTTATTCCTTCATAAGCCCTACCCCTGAGCACCAATGTACAATTTGAGATCTACTGAGTAGCAGGTGAGAGAGGGCACAGGTCAATACAGCAGTGGTTCACTTTCCCAGCAAGTAGTAAGACTTAAAGGAGCAGGTGGTATAGTATACAGTCTTAATGAAGGGTGTGCATCTGCACTAAATACTTGCTGTTTTGAGGGTTGAGGTGGATGTGAAGAGCTGGGGGTCCTTTTGGGGTCCGGGTCCAGACTGGGGTATTGGCTGGAGTAGGCTGTAGGCAACGGAGGGTCCCAGAAGACAGCAGGCGTTCTGGCTCAATAGTGGAACTCCATGCTGTCTCGTCTGGGCGCTTATATAGTGCTGGATGAGTGGGGAGGAGTCGCGGAACGGATCGGCGCACTTCCGTGTTCCAAGGTGGAACGCACCCGGCCTCCGAACCCGGGAAGTGACGAGCGTGCGCTCCACCGTGGAACGCAGCGGCGGATCCGAGACGCGGCTTGCTCCCGATGATTAAGGTCTACGGCGGTGGCCGTTACACTAAGAGTAGACTTACCTGGAGGGGGCCCCTTCCTTCTTAAAGGTACAGGCAACACCACAGGAAGCCCAGACATCACTTTTGCAAGACAGCTAAAGACTTCCAGTGTACAATATGTCTGTTAGAATACAACAGCCCAACGGGAGATTTGTCCATCCACGCTGTTTAGTGTGGATGGAGGAATCTATTACATTATTTTCGTTCAGCCCGCAGGTTGTGTATGGCCAGCTTAAGGGTGGCGCCCTCTCTTTTAGTCTTGATGACTGTTGTCACCAGCACAGATAGTGACAGGAAATCCAAAATGTTACACTTGCCATTGGTACAGTAGCTGAGGGGAAATCATCCAGTGGGGACACTTGTTCCAGTGATAAATAACAACGAGGGAAAGCTCTCTCTTCTCTCAGAAAGTGAAGGAAAATATCCCCAACAGACAAAACAAAGTTAACCATTCCCCAGTCCAAACAAAAAAGTTTAGCTTTAGATACACTTTAAGAGAACATTTTCCTGTTTTATTCTGTATTGAAGCAGAATTTAAACTCCTAGGACAGCCCTCTAGGACGGATGGTGAGGATATCTCCCCCTACCTCTGATTTAGCTGTGACAGATGCTGCTTCATTCTTTTGACTGAGCCTCTGATGTCATCAAAGTGATTTCTGCATCTATTTATTTTGCCGAATGTTGAATCTACTACAATGTGTTGGGCATAGAAATGCCTTCTACTGATTATCTATAGAAAAATAGGAAAATTTCACTTTGTTCAGTGACACCAGAGGCTTAACTTAATAGATAAGCAGGAGCTGTAACAGCCGTGCTATTGGGCGTATCTTTATAAGGTATCCTGGAGAAATACAAAGACGTGGCAGGAGATTAAACCCTTCTCTATGCCATCCTAAATGGGTATTTCTGTCTCCGGTGCAGCTCTGCTTTAAATAAAGCCCTTTGTGATATGCAACTTAACTCATTTAAAAGACCTTATCAAAGTCCTTTGTTTTCCTAGACTTGGCTCTTGAGATCTTCAATAAAAACTTTAAAGGCCAACGTATTATGCCTCTGAATACACATAAAAAGTTTGTGTTGTTATACAATGGGGAGACTAATGAACAGGCAATCAAATTTAACTGGCCTAGAAGCTCCAGTCCTGTTAAAGAAGAGAAGAAGACAGTGCAAGTCAACAACCAAAACAGACCTGTGAAAAATGTGGAGAAGCCCAAGAGATCATTTAAGCCTCTTGCAGACAATGGAAACCCTATTGTAACTAGGTCTTTTGTGTTGCAATCTCCTCAAAGAACAAGCTTGGCAATGTCCCCCATTAATATGATGGGCTTTCATGATGGCTTGGCCCTCCATGCACTAAGACACAAAGCCAAGCACAACATACCATCTAAGAGTCTGGATGGGCCTCAATTCAATAACTTAATAGAGTCAGGCCAAACGAAAAGCAAAGCTGAACCCTCAGTCCCTGTTGCCAAGATTTCTTTTAGAGGTCCGCAGAAAACTAGGGTGGTTGGTAGAAAAACACCCATGTTCAGAAAAAGAAGCAGACATGATACATCTATCAACAGCAATGTTGTAATCTTTTCTGAACAGAATCGTCTACTCTTCAACAGCGGCTCTCTCCGTGGTGTTGAGGACCCCAGTGAAACGAAATTAGAAGGTGCACAAGCAAATGAACACGGTCATTCAGAATCTGTGAAATAATGATGTTCACCAAAACCAGTAAAAACAGCATTAAAAAAGAAAAATGATTATTAGCCTCAGTATGTCTATATGTAGATGGTCAAAGCTGGCATTTCTAAACTTTCATCTATCAGCAATGCTTCAAGAAGAACTCCATTTTTTTTTTAAATTAACCCTTGCAGTGAAGCTACCCCCACTCTGCACTCTGCAAGTGCTTGTTTTAGTCTAGTGGTGAAAATAAAGAGAACATACTCACCTGAACTTCGGCCCTATGGCAGTGACTTCTTTCCACTCTCCCCCTCAGGCTGTGCTATGTCCCTCAGGGTCCTCATGTCTAATGGACTGGCATTAGGTCTGATGATGTCCCGGGTTCTTAGACTGGCAGAGCCAAGGGGAGAAGAGGCTGTAGTGAGCCGTTAGCAGCCAGGTGGGACAGAGGATCAGGTAAGTATATTTTCTTGATTTTTATCCCTAGACCAGGGTAGCCCCACTGCAAGGGTTAATTTTTCCTGGAGTTCCTCTTTAATCATGGGATGTTTTTTATACAGAAGCTGCATGGTAACCTGTAGAATTCCACCTAAAGATATTATTTCGAGTTTTACAGAACCAGACTATTATTATTATACAGGATTTATATAGCGCCAACAGTTTGTGCAGCTGTTTACAATATAAGCAAGACATTAAAATCACAATACAATTCAAGACAAGGTGGTAAGGAGGGCCATGTCCTCTAGGGCTTACAATATGTGATTAAAGCCAACATCCTCGCTCTGTTGCTGAGTTCTGCTAAGATGGAAAAACTGCTTTGATCATTTGCACCTCTAGTTCACTTTTCTGTGCTGAATGTCACTCAAACATTTACCCTAAAGCCATGGAAGGGAATATCCTCTGACACATGCTTATCAAAGCTACAGTGAATGGGAGACAGGAGGGCTTGAGGAATGCAGAAAAGTGCAGCAGATAGGTAGGTTTACCCATTATTAGACCTGTTCAATAAATTGTTCTTATTCCTAACTTCAGTAACCCTTAGCAACCAATCAACATTTAGTTTGTTGAAGACAGGCTAGTAGAAGGGTTTTGCTTGCTATGGGTTACTGTTCAGAACAAATACCCATTAAAGTATATGTAACCCCAACCACTAAAATCTTATATACAGTAAGAGTTAACATTTTAATTTCTAAATTCCTTTTTAATATTGTTTTTTTAAGTCTGAAGCTTTCAAGAACATTTTGCCTTGAAACTCTTTGTGCAGGTACTTACTAATGAGGTGACTGTGCTCTGTTCCAATTGTTCTCCTGTGTTGTCACCCTGTCAACTGTTCTCCCAATGGAGATTGCAAGTGACAGTGCCACAGTGCATTGCACAGACACGGTCCACTATTGTTTCTTAAGAAACCTGCCCTGAGAAATGATATGCACCAGTTGCTGGAGTGCAAGCACTTAGACAGGAAGTCAGAAAGGCTGGAGAAGATCAGCAATGAAATTAAACTGTAAAAAAAAAGTATTTTAATAATAAAAAAAAAATTGAATTTGTTTTTGATACATGTTGTTTTAGCATTTAGGAGTTACATTTACTTTAATTTTAAGAGCTTTTTGTTAAATAAGGCTTACAATCTTCTAAAATGCTTAGGTGGAGTTGTTTATTTTAAGTGCACCTTTACTCCTTTTTAAGCTTTTGAATATAAGCCTTGCCTAAGAGCAGAGACAACAGGATGAACACTATTATCTTCATTATCCAAACAAAGGCCTCTTCTGTGACCTCTTTAATTTTGGTTTTACTTTGTCAACTTGACAGGACTTTCCCTGTTTATATCTAACGCTGGCCATACACGGCTTGTATTGCAGCCAATTCCTGCTGAATCAGTTGAAATCCAAGCCATGGGGGGCTTGTTAGCACAGCCTGACATGTCATGCTTCAATCTCAAAAATGAAGAAGCCTGGCAAAAAATGGTCAGAATACAGCAGCCGACAGGCGAGATTCCTCCATCCACACTGCTTAGCTTGGTGGGGGGGTCAAGCTATTCATTTCTTACATTCAGGCCACAGGGCTAAATGAAAGAAATCTTAACTTGTGTGGCCAACCTTATACGTAGCAACTATCATCCTAGAGTTCAATGAAACTGCCCCAGTCAGTTAGAATGGGTATGCTCCTTGTAAAGGGGGTGCAAGTTGGTGAAGAATAGACACAAAGTCAGGCCCCAGTAAAAAGCAGTAAACCAATGAAGAGAAAAAAGATTTTTAGGCCAATAAAGGTAGTAGCAGGCATTTCTGGTGTTTGTTCTAAGTCCTGCCTTTTACATTTAAACATTTACAATAGAATACAGGTTTACTTTAAAGAAGAACTTCCGCCGAGGGACCTGCCATCACTGCAGAGGAGGAGGAGACAGGCTGGAGGGAGCACTGTAGGCTCTGAGGATCCAGTGAGTATAACTTTTTTTTCTTTACTCTAGGCAAAAAGGACCAGTTAACCCTTGCAGTTTGCGGGGTAGCCTCGCTGCAAGGGTTAATACAATTTCTGCCTAGAGTTCTTTAAGTGTTCGTTTTGATTTTCTGTTGATGATCTGGTGCATC